ACAATTCCATTCAGGCCGCCTCAACCGCCAATTCCTACGGCCGATCTTATACTTTAGTCCACCCGATTATCAGTAGCTAATCATACATCTTCTCACTACCAGGTCTCCAAAGACCGCCCAATTGAGCGCTGCTCGGAGTGCGGAAACACCATCAAGATGGACTATGTCGGTCCAAAGGAGGATCCCCATGCTCACGGTACGGTTTATTCTACATTATTCAATCTAGCGCGCAATACTAACATTTCCTTCTCAATAAGGCCATGACCACCACCATGGACCAGCTGAGCCAAAGACCTTCGCCGACCACGTCAAGCCTGAGTATTGGTATAAATAGATCTGAAAGCACACCGCTTGCCGCAATTCCATTCACAAGGATTTCTTTTTCTCGATATCTTTGTATCTGTACTAAAAAGAACAGCTGGGAAAGACTATGCCTTAAACCTGCACTCATCAGCTATCTAACTCAGCTATTTCCTCCTCTATTTGATATACTCTTGCATACCTACTTGACGTTGGCATCCTCCATCCACAGTCACTCGTGTTATTTTCCTGTAGAATAACTGCTGTTAATAAGATTCTTTTTCAAATAAAAAAGGAATGAACATATTTTTACTTTATCTTGGATCTAGCATGGAAATACTTGGCCACCACGCAAGCCCCTTTGCCCCATATCAAGAATACTCACCGCCATCCCACTTAACAATCCGGCACAAGGCTGAGACGTTATTCCTCGATAAGAATTACATGACCGAAACAATTTGAGGCGGGATTTACATCCATGTTCATGAGTCAATTGCCACGGAATAAGTAATAACCAAACATGCTGATTCGAACTACAAACCCCCTAGATCCTCGCCACACCGATCAGGTAGGTAGAATTAACAAGTCGTAGTCTTGTGCGAGACTCGTTCCACAAGAGCTTATATATCCCACATACTTGGCTTGCAGGAAAGGGCACCAAGCGAACCAAAAGGATGACATGTCCGTGGGGGTAACCCAATGTTATTGTACCCAGGATGCTACCCACATCATTCCATCCATCCGTTCCATGCCACCTTGCTATCTAATGCAATGCAATGCAATGCAATGCGAGCAAATCAAGTTTCCATCGGTATTCGAGAAGTGGGGGAACAAAGGTTAGTGACGGGTTAATCTATTGTTGACACACGTCTATCACACAAGGCCGGGGCGGCCGATGTATTCCTTGGGCCTGAACGGACTGATTGAGGTTTTTGATTGGGTATTGGATGTAGTAAGGACAAGTTTTCCAGGTCTAGGTGTTAAATAAGTTGTGGAGCTATGTTGTACATATATCTGCATGTACGGACGGGAGGATAGGTTGACTTCTTAGATCGATGATGATCTTCCCACCGGGGGTATATGGAGGGTACGAGAAAGGAAAGGATAAGGGGAAGTTCAACTAGAACCCCCACTGCCTGGCACCATATGGAATATTGTGCTTATTCTGTACGCGTTGCCCCCCGTGGGAAGTGTGCGTGGGGTACTCTGCATATGTAGGGTTTTCGTCACCGGAGAAGTTGCGTTCTAGCCCATACTTGTGCAGGAACACTAGTTAAGCATATCCGTACTGCATACTGCGCGGTAGGTGTCAGTGTACTTGGTGCCGGCCAGGTAGTGAAGGTCAGTTTCAGCCTCCAGTGGAGTGCAGCTGTATCGATCGGTCTATATAGCTAAATTTAGTCACGTCAAAATGTATACCAAGGTAGCTGAGATGAAACATTGTCAATCCTGCTATATGTGGAAGTCGGATTAAGTGGTTAGATAGGGTATGAGTGGAGTATAACGTACCATTCCTTCGTAGATCTTGTCTTCCAAGGACCAAAGGAAGGTCAGGTCGTTACGACGGATCTTCATGGAACATCTCATATCATGTTGCGTTGGAGGGAGTGATAGGAGACTATCGAAACCTAGGTAGATTGGTTGAGGGAGTTATGAAGCACGAGGAAAGAAGAAAAGAGTAACGAACATGACCGGGGAGGCATGGCTGGACAGGGTTGCTTGACATAAGGCGCAGTCGTAGGTGACCGCACGGCCGTATCAATCACACCGGGTGACATATATCGTAAAACCCACGAATAGTAGAAAAGGTAAAGCGAGGTTCCCTTCCTTGTTGGGATGGTTCATCCAGTGTCCAGCAATAGGGGTGTATGGTATCCAACCGTGGCCCGATACAATTGGCCAGGTCGACGAGTTCATGTTCAACAATGGCTCAATCGGATACGGATACCCTCAGCCCAAGTCCAGCATACTGGGGTCTCCAAAGTTATCAGAGGAGACGTTGAAAAACCGAGAGACCTATCCGGTCACTAACCCTTGTATAGTCATACAAACATTATGACTTTCAACCCTTCACAGCCTTGTACGTATCACAATCTCAAGGCAAGGAAGGAAAGAAAAGAAAAGAAAAAGGATATACTCCTTAGAAAGCACCGACGATGCACGAATCGAATCGGCAGAAGAACCGGCACGGCACGGCAACCGGACCGCAACTTCATCCCGTAGTACGCTCGCACCGTGTGGGTATTGCATCAAGTCCAAGGGGTCCGCTGCCACTGAACCTTCTGAAGCGATTGGCGAGAGGAAGAAAAGGAAAAAAAAAACGAGAATCCCGAATCCCGACATGAGAGAACGATCCATGTCCGTCAATTTCACCAAGGATTGGGTCGTATTACCTCTACTACCGGGAAACCCAATATGACGTGCATACGGTCTCCCACACCTTGTACAGAAACCTGATCACGCGCACACTTCCTCGTAGTGGCTGGAGTCAAGATTCGTCAACACACACACACACACACACCCAAGGGTCTTTTCGAGAGGAGGTTTGAGAGATTTTGGTTTCTGTGTTTTGCCAAATTCAGGCTGTGCATGTAGACGGTATCTCCTTCTGGCCAGTATTCATTCACATCTCCCATCTCAATTTCCTGCGGTACCATCTGATCTATCCGAAATGTCACATCGTCGTATACAAACAAGGTGGTTGGTGGTTAGATGGTATTGCTTTCTCCCGCTTCTGGTGTCGTCCATACACGAGCCAGAAGCCGCACACACGCTGCATGTAGCGCTGGCACGTAGCGTAGACCGTTCCTTGCAAGCAGGGTAGTTGATACGATTGCAGGGGGATGCGGGCATTGAAATCAATTCGCTAGTATTTGCGCTGTATGTATTGGAGACAGGGAACACAGCCATCGTCCATTGAACTCAACTCTCCTCGGGGAAACAGGATGTGCATATCGGATGGCGTATAGTTTTGTGAGATCTCACCCCCTCGCCCGTCCATGCAGACGTGATTGTGATTCTGGATAGGTAATAGGGGAAATAGAATGGGGGTGAGATGTTCCTGGCATTGCCACCGTGCTGGATTACCGCCACTGCATCTAGATCGACTGCATAGTGCAGGGGACAGGCGGATATCATGAATCGTTCCTTTTGCGCCGTCCCTGGTCCCAAGGTAAGTGCTGAGTGCTACCTTGAGGGTACGGACTGGTGAGATCGATGGACAAACAGTCGATTCGACACCGATACCACCGGCCATGTAGCGATACATGGCTGAGGCTCGTGGTTGATGAAGTAGTAGATCCGCTCTACCGACTTCGACATGATGTAGATGGATGGCCGTATATGTATAACTATGACAGTGATGATGAAGATATGATGATGACGGCAACGGTGACAACGACGACAACGATGACAGGTAAACACTCCAGCATACGTCTACATCAAAGCAGGATACGTGGTCGCCGTCGAGTCTGGAGGTGAGGTGCAAATAAGCCTGGAAGCCACGGTCGCGCCCAAAAGTACTTGGCGGTCACGGTACCTGGTGGAGTTGTGCTGTGTAAGCCAAAACTCAACCTCTAGGGCCACAAGTTCCTGCATCTACCCTCTACAAAGATACGTACTTGACATCATAGTCCCGTAGATCACCCAGGTACGTACCCGTATAAGAGTCCAGATCATTAACATAGTTGTATTCCCTTCCTATCCTAGCCTCCCGAATTTCAAAAAAAAAAAAGAAAAGGTGACAAACGAAAACAAAGCGAAAAGAAAAAGACCGACAAGCGAACCAAGAAAACACGAATTCCATCGCCCTATTGCTATCAATTGCATCATATTGCCTTCCTTGCCCTGACCTGACCTGCCATGTTCCGTCCTTGCTTCATAACATACCCAACAAGAGATAAAAAAAAAATAGAGAAAGAAAAGGCTGAACCAAGGGATACGTCAAGAACAGAAAGACGATCAAAGTGCTCGAGACCAAAAAAAACTGAAAAGGAAAATTATAAAGGAAACCGCACATAAACAATAAGTTCGTAGTCCATAATCCATAGTCGATAGCCAATAGGTTAAAGACGCTCCAAGCAGGGAAAGGGGAAATTTTAAACAGAGAATTAAAAGAACCACACAATGGCAAGAGTCACGTCATATCAAAAAATCCAGTGCACAGGGGGTATTATAACTCTGCAGAACCGCCGCATATAGAGAAGGGGAAGAGAGCGTCGCGTGTGAGCGGGGGCCGGCGGTGGTGATTGTGATGTTGCAGCGGAAAATTGAAGAGAAATGAACGCCCATCCAAGCCCAGACAAAGACCAGACCAGACTCCCTCGAAAATTACAGCGAAAAAAAGGAGTAAAGACAGAAACGGCATGTAAAAAGGCGACAAAAATGGACGAAAAGACGGCCCAGTGATCATAGCCCAGCATGCGTACGTGTTGGTTGCAGTCACGTATATGATATATTAGTTTTCTCTTTTTTTTTCCTTTGGGTTTCGGTATCAAGGTTCCGTGTTTCGCTATCGTGGTCGGGGCAGTTCAATTTGCATCAAGGAAAAGGAAGGAAAAAGTATACCCTCATAGAAAAGAAATGGAAAAAAAAGGGGCACTGGGCGGGGTTGTTTCATTCGGTTTGCTTCCAGGCGAGGAGCTGTGCTGTGAACGGACCAGAAAGATATCCCTAGACGGTTGCGTTTTGGATATCGATATTTATAGGCTCTTGAAATGCTCCTTGGCATATTGTTCGCAGGCCTAAGTGATCATGTTAATACTTATCTTAGTAAAAGGGTAAAAACGGAGTAGATATACCTTTGCTGGTTTCCCGACCTTTTGGCCAATAACTTTCCACTTATTGGCTTCGTACTCCTTGATTGCATCTCGCAGGGCTATAGACTGTAGAGAGTTAGAAAACTGTAAAACGGTGTATTTTTGAAAATAAATACCTCGTCTTCGGCAAATTCCGCATAATGCATATCTTTATACCAATGTTTCTTGACGCTCCCTTCAGTCCGAGTGGGGAATGTCTATGACATAATTAGTTAAAAAGATCAGACGAAAGCAAAGCAAGGACATGCTGACCTTTGCAATCTCGCTCCATGTATTACCTGCATCTCTCATCGTTTTGAGCCGTTGCTCCTCCTCTGCCGTCCAGGGCGTGTTGGTGCGTCCCTTCTTCTTGGCTCCCGTCTCCGGTGCAGCAGCAGCACCGCTACCCGCCGTGGCACCGTCCTGGTCAGCTGCGTTGGATCCCGCCATTGGAGGCCCCATGTTTGTCAGCGATCCTGGCTGCTGGATGGAGGCTCGTCGTTTTCTTGGATTTGCGGGTGACGAAGGCGGATGGACCTGACCCGGCTGTTGCTGCTGTTGCTGGACGTGGGTAGCTTGGAGATGTGACGGGGCCGGAGCGGTAGTCGGGACTGGAGGCGCGGGGACCATTGGCGGGTTGTCGAAGGGGTTTGGAGGAGCAAAGGGGGAGGGAGCACCTGGTTGGGAGAGAGGGAGGGGGTGATGCTGGTGTTGGTGGTGCTGCTGGTGCTGTTGGTGCTGCTGTTGCTGCTGGTGATGCTGCTGCTGCTGGTGCTGTTGATGCTGGTGTGGCAGGGTAGGCGGGTTGGGGCCTACGCCGGTCTTGAGACGGTGTGGGGAGCTATATCAGAGAGGAAGGAAGAAAGAGAGTCAGTCAAGCAATTCGATTCACAGGCCAAGGATTGAACTGTCGATATATATAAGAAAGAGACGAGAGGAAAGGAAGGGACAGGAGGCCTCCAGGTAGGCGGACCCAGCATTTTTATGCTACGGGAGGACGAAAGGAGAGGGAACGAGGAGGCAACCCCCGAGGAACCGAGCGGAGAGGGAGGAAGGGTATAAGGATGAAGGGAACGAGTGCCGGGTAGGGATCTGCTGGGCGAGTCGAGGGAGGTGGAAAGCGACCTGGGAGTGACAAAGGAGGACGAGTAACTCACTTCATGTCCGGAAGGGGAGACCTAGATGGGAAGACCCAATTCATCTGTAGCGATACGAACGGAGGAAGAGAGAGGGAAAAAACGTTAGCCAGGCTGGTCAGAGGCGCTACATAGCCTGTACTCGGCGTGAAGGGACCGCGAGTGCCCTCCTGGGTGTCTCTCGCACAGTGGCAGAGAGGTTACACGGGGGCAGGAAAAGGAGCGTTGGGCCTGATCGCAACGAAGGAGCAACGGTGACTTTCTTGCGGGATACAGGGAAGTAGGAAGCTGGAGAAGTAGAGAGACGGGTGCAGGAGGGAGACGGGGGGATGGTCGAGGTGACAAGTGACGAGGCGAGCAGGGGAGGAAGAAGACGTCCACGGCTTTCGTGATGGGGAGAAGGACGAGGCAGAGGAAGAGTCGGAAGGGGAGAGGGAGACGAACTGTAGCTGGAGGTACAGATACTCGTGCTCAAGCCGGAGGTCGGTCGGGCGCGCTCAAGCTGGCTGTACGGTTGGTCTCGTTGGTGGTGATGCTAGGTCTTGTTAGTGGTGGTGATGCTGCTGATGCTGCGAGTGCTGGCATGCGATGCGCGTCCTTGTTGATGCTCTTGATGCGCTGCGGATGCTGGGATGACGGAGGAGGAAGAGCAAGGAGGACGTTCCAAGGTTGGATGCGGGGAACCATGTACTGGTACTTCTTGCTTTCCTGTTTTTGGCAGGGGAGGAAGTACTGGTACACGGGGTCACTGCTGGTAATACGCCGCCCGTGACAGATAAACAAACATCTATATCTATCTTATATTCTTCTACTATATCTATCTATATCTATTCTATTCATATCTATATGTATATGTATTCTTCTTCTTCTATATATCCTTCTTCTACTCTATCTATCTTCTATACAGTGGTACTATCTAGTTATGATGTAGACCCTACGTGCTACATTTCAATATAGACCGCTCGACTGGCCAGCAAGTACATCTCCGCAAAGTACACCAGTTTGCTGCGCTCGTGCTCAGCCAGGGATCCCTGCCCGGCCAGTCGCCCACAGCTGTCGCGTTTCCGTCGCTCGATCAGCACACAGAGCACCTCCCATGGCTGCGTGGACCGTGAAGCGTCTTGCGCAACACAGGAGGGCGGACGAGCAGGTACTTGGCTGGCAAGTCACTGCTCCTGTGCAAGCGTCTCTCTTGTCCTTGTTGCGTAGGATGTAATGGTCGGGACGGCACATAGACGCCCTGGGTACTCGGTCTTTAGATCTGGTCTGGGTTCGATGCAGGCGGCCAGAATGCGATGATCATGAAACATCTCCCGCGCCTCGATATCTCGTCAGCATCCGTCCACGGTAGACACGGTAGACACGGATGCTGCAGGTTGAACAGTACAGTGATGAAGGATGATGACAGTAATGGTTAATGGAGATGAAGATGAATGGTGAGAGCAGTTGGTCGAGGTAGCCTCACTTCTCCCGTGGTAAATAATTTCCGACCATGCCGTGCCATACACTCCTCGCTTGCAGCCGACCTTTGCTTTTCCTCGGCTTTGTCCGCGGATACACATATTATGGCCAGTATACGGAGTATACACCGCAGTATCGCCGTCATGGTTGTTTTCAGGGCAAAGGCGGTCGTCTATCGTTGCCCAAGCGTCATATTAGCTGTCTTTTCTTGCATAGATATCCCTTAATAGTAGATAGACCCTCGGTTATGCTGAATATCCACCGCGGGCTGGCCAGAGGAAAAAGCAAGCGTGACCTCTCTTCCTTGATTTTGCGGCATGGTGGAAGAATCGTGGCTGTTTTTTTCATCTCTCCTCGCCTATTCTTATGCTTGCGTGCATAACTGACATGCATTCTCTTTCGGTGGCTTCATTTTCAGCAGTGATGACTTCAATATTTGAGCTGTTGAGCCATAGCTTGGAGATATCCAGACGCACGGCGCAGTCTATCCTCATAGTCGCCTATACGGCAGCCATCGGACAAACATGGGTTGAGAGTTCACCGTCTGGCTTGTCGCCGCCGCCGCCGCCGCCGTCGTCGTCCTTTGTTCCGACGATAGAGTGGACGCGTTGCCCGTCTTTATATCCCGCCAGGCTCGAATGTGGTCGACTGCGTGTGCCAATGGACCATGACGAGCCTGGAGACAGCGACAACCTCATCACCCTCGGTGTCGTTAGATCTAGGGCTCGCTCGGCTGGACAACACCTGGGGAACCTGATCGTTAACCCAGGCGGACCAGGAGTATCGGAGGTCAGTAAGTTCGTCACCGAAAGGGAGGAAGAACTGATCAGCCAGAAGCTGATGGAGGTCTACGATATCATCGCGCTGGATCCAAGGGGCGTCGGTGTAAGTAACCCCGTTAAGTGCGATGCGAGCATATACAACGAACGCGTCCCCAGCTATGTAAGGAGCCAGAGCGACGTCGATTACCTTGTTTCTTGGAGTCAGGCCTTGGGCAGGTCTTGCGCCAACCTGACGGGCCCTTTAATTAACTATCTCGATACTGTCTCTGTGGCAAAGGACCTTGATCTTTTACGCCAGGCGAGTGTATGTACATCTACTATACGCAGGAATGATATTAACTCGTCAGTAGGCCCTAGGGGACGACAAGTTGAACTACCTGGGCTTCTCCTATGGCACGCAACTCGGAAGCCAGTATGCAGAGCTTTTCCCAGAGCATGTTGGTCGTATGGTCCTTGATGGTATCACTGATCACTCCCAGAGTGAAGTCGGCAGCTTTATCACTGGAGCCATGTCCTTTGAAGACACGTTCAATTCGGTTGCCAGATGGTGCAACACAACCTCTGAATGTGCCTTGTATCATCAAGATGTTCCGGCCATCTTTGACAGGCTGGTCGATGATGCCAATGAGCAGCCCATTCTGGCTCCTAGCTGCCACAGTCCTTACTCTAAAGCCACCGGTGACCATGCAGTGGGTGTCGAGACTTCTACCTGCCGGTCAGAGGTGACTGGATATGAGATTATAGATAACTCACAAGCCTTCCTACAAAGGAAGTCTCTGTGGATTGCTTGGTCCAAGGCATTATTAGAGGCAATTCACGGAAACGCGACCCTCCTCTCGACCCCCCTTCTCACCTCCAACGTGTTCCCCATCACCAACGACTTGAATGAATTTTCTGACAGAGCAATCGTCTGCCAGGACTGGCTACGTCCGACCGGCCCCCGAGCAGGGAGGGACTTGCTGTCAATGTTCAAAGCAGCCCGCGCACTTGCTCCCCATACGCGCGGCATTAGCCAAGTATCCAATATCCCAACCGGCTGCATCGGCTGGCCTGCACCGGTGAGGAACCCGCAACGACGGCTTTGTAGGGACCAGCTCGAAAAGGCACCGCCGATCATGCTGGTGAGTTCCCTTCACGACCCTTCGACGAGCATTGTTTGGGCAATTCGCCTACGCAAGCAGATGCCGACAGCGGTAAGCATCTTCCGTGATGGATTCGGGCATACGAGTTATCGGGAATATGGCGAAACACAGATGATCATCGATGAATTCCTAATCCAAGGCAGCATGGCAGAAGACCTGACCACGTTGGACTCGTAAGCTACTTTTGAGACAAATTGCCTTGAATAGGCGAGAAGAGGGACTCTACAAACCATGCCATCCAAAGCAGGGATTTCGATGCAAGCACAGGATATGACACTTCTGTAACGGTGTACTCGGCCAACGTTGAACCTGGCAAGACAACATCAAACTCTTAGAAATGGTGGGCTCCGTACACACATGTATGCGTGCTGATGAAGATTGCATGCTCATCTCGATTTGAATGCTGAGAAGATACGGAGTACGCTAGAAATATATTCATATACCCATCCTTGACGGGGAGCTTGACATTCTCCCTTATTACTGCTCCTAACAACGCCACAGGTGCATTTCGCTTCTCGCGGCATTCATCAAACAAGTCCTTGCCTGCCTCCGTCATATGTCAGTTGCCGAGCATGCACTGCAGTGATACTGCTACTTGCTATCTACATACCCTCAAGCATCCGCTCGGAACTTCCCAAGAGTGCGGAGTACCCTGCGAATGATGTTCAAGCCGAGTTTCTGTAAGCCATATCAGAGATTTAGGTCTGGCGGCCTTGAAACATTTCATGAATCCAAAAGGCTTAGCACTTTCGGGTTTTGGTATTATCTCTTTGGCCATATGCCAAGTAAAAGGGAAATTATACCCCTGATTTTCTTCTAGTAGGTTTTGGACGGGTCGACGTTTATGGGCTAATCGTAGCCACCTTTCTCGATCGAGGGCCGGATCGTGCCTTGTTTCTCAAGCTGGTAATCTCAAAACATGGGCCTTTTCAGCTAGCTGCATATATTTCTCACGCAGCTCAGCGTTTCGACACACGTCCTGTCTTCCATGGCTCAATATCGACCCGTTGCTGCGGTTAGTTAGCGTTCGTAGCAATTTCTCCTCGCGTAATGACAGCAGGTCCCTAAGGACATGTGGCAGATGGCTGCGTGCGGCATCTTTGTCACTGCATGACTCGAAGTCAAGCTACGGTACTCCGTGCAGCGTACCCCTTAGCTGTCATGCCTGACGCTGTGTTTGTGTCATTGTCTGACCCATCTCGAGCGATGTTTCCCAAAGCGCGCACAGTATAAAAACATAACATGATGTGTCAGCAAATTAATCAGCTGACCTTGAGCTTGGACTCTTACCCCGTGACCTGATTACCTCATCTTTTGTTGTTGTGGTTCATTTTTTTGCTATTTTTGGGCGTTCGCGCATGTTTCATATAGACAACAAACTCCTACTCCGTCCAGACAGACTGCCCCGAAAGCTGTTTCACGGCTCTCCTGCAACTCCCTATCCTATCCTGCTGGGAGGGACGGAGTGAGACCTGCTTCGATGAACAATCAGGTTACTACGTACCGAGATTCATGCAGACCGCCTTCTCTACAGGCTACTACTGTTGACGCTGTCTCAAATATATGCAAGCAACATCAAAGCCCAACGAACTAACTATAGCTGCCTGCAAATCCTCCGCCGCTAGAGCTTCATCATCCTCCGTTCGAGCGAGCTGGCTATTACGTCAATATGACTGAAACTATCCACTAAATCTGTCTATCTTGGCGGTTCGACGTGCATCTACTACTGTATACTGCTTGCTCAGCCCTGCTCTTTCTTGCTAACCGACGTATCCACGACGTCAGCGGTTCATGCTTGCTCCCTGCAGCTGTTGGTCCCGGTCCTGAAGCACCACGCCGCCATCTGATCTGTACCCGTGGCAATGCAGTGCCATCACTTGGGCAAAGGATGAAACGGGCGTAGATCAGTTGCCAAAAATACCTTTTCGAGTATTTTTCTTCCTTTTTCTCTTTTACTCTCCTCTACTTCTCTCATCAAGTTGGGGGAGCGCCGGTCCGACCTTTCGGTTTAGCGGTCGATGGGGAATCATCACAGTTGCTGCTGTGCGGGTAGCATTTATGTCAGAGTGCATACCTTTGTCATGAGTGGGAGAGGGAAATGAAATGAGGTCGTGCCAAACGTGCTCCTCCTACTCCGCAGCGTGCTACAAACCTGTTACATAACCATGCCTTCTCCGCCGTGGCAAGGCAAGGCAAGGTATGCTAAGGCAAGGCCTGCAAGTCATGCAAGTCATATCGAGGGGGTAGCTGCCTGCTATGCCACCTACAACTATCATATCTCTCCCCAGTCTCGTTGCATTTCTTTTACAACAAATCAAACAGGCTGCAACAAACAAGAGCTAAACTCCAACTTATTTTTATTCATTCACCACAAACAAAATACATTAAACTTGTCCTCTCATCTTCTCTCGGTCGCTGTTGTGTGGCTCAGAGGGTAACCGTTTCTTATCGTCCCTATCTTGAGAGGAGAGATATTGTTTACTCCGCTCTCTCAACGCGTCTGATAAATAAAGGCTTTCACCTGGCCTTTCCCATTCCTCCTTCTCTTTGTTCACAAAGCCAGAGCGCTATTTCTCACCTTACTCTTCTTAACACCTCGAAGTGTTTATTTATTACCGGTCAGACATTCTTAAATCCATTTGGCTCTGTCGGCATCTTTCTTCTGATACGCGAAGAACAAATATATGAACGACATTTCTCAAGTTCAAAATACCGGCCTACTCTTTCTTCAAGGCCATATCCATCTCGCGTTATTTGCCTGTATATTTCTGGCCGATTAACTCGTTATACCCCTTTCAAAGGCCCAAAGATGAGCCATCAACTTTATACGGCGAGCCCTCCATCGCCGCCCTCGTTCCTTGCAGAATATAAACCATCCTGTCTGGGGGCGATGAAATGCGGTATCGAAAAGCAGAGCAAAGCCTTAGCTTCTTGTGGCGGACGAGCGTGGACGGAAGAAGAGGTATGAACCTGAAAATACACCTTTTTCAAAGGATATTAGTCTAATAATTCATGATCAGGATGCCTATCTTTATCGTGCCCGTATGCTTAAAACTCCATACAAGCGCATTGCGGCTCATCTGTGCAAAACAGAGCTAGCTTGTCGTCTGCATTTTCACCAAATGTCATCCGGCAATCTTCGAAGGCGGAGCGGGAAATCCCGGTCCTCGTCCATCAGCGTTGAATCAGCATTTTATCCCGTTGAGGAACTAGGGCGTGAATACTCTACCTCTTCATATACCCGAACCCCATCCCCGCGCTACGAACCAGTAACTAGCTACTTCCCGCCTTCTTCCCCGGCTGTTTCCCATGCATCACGTCAGCAACTGCCTTCGCTTTCGTATCCTTTTGAGCTATCACCAACTATTCCAGACCCCAGCAGACCATCCAGGATCCATTCAGCTACAGCACACGACCGGAACCAATCCCAGCCAAACCGCAGATGCCATGTTGATATCGAAACTTCCAGGTTATCACATATACCACATTCCCACCAGTATTCATTCCCACCCTTCACCACCAACAACAACACCGCGAGAAAATACCCTTTCCACGCCGCAATATTACCCCCCAATATATCTGATCCGGTCCATGATATAACCCTACCACCAATCCGGTCGATCCCCCTGCCCACACCCAGCCCCAGCCCTGGCCCAGGTCCGGCCCCCTTAATTCCCTCAATGGGACTTTACAGAGATGTTTATCGTCGCGGCTCTCACTCCGTAGCGGGGCAATGCAACAACGATCACCGCCATGCAGCCGATGAACCCCGAGAAGCTCGAATCGCAGAACCTAACGTGCAGCAAACTTCTCAAAGCCCGCTGCAAAAATGTGCTGTCGCTTCACTTCTGACTGTTGAGCGAGATGTGTGGGCTCCTAGAGGGATTAAGAGCAGACCTGTGATGTGAAACCTTCCGATTTAACGCATTTTCAATTTCCCTCTATGTATTGATTTATATAAATCCATGGGGTGGTTGGCGGCAGGTGTCTGGATACACCGTACCCTCTCCCTAAATATACCCTTTATGAGCATGGCTTTTTCTTGTTACGCTGACGAACTTAATATTAATATGGGATGCTCCGCCATTCCGCCATTCCCTTTTTGTCAGAACATCATGGTTTATCTGGATCTTCTTGCATATGTTCTATATCTTACACCAGTTTCCCTCAAAAGTTATTTCATCAATATAGACAGCTGAGTTCAACGATTTCCCTAACGAGGCTGCCTATACCGTCGAAGCACGGCTGTTCCTCCTCGTCCTTTACACTGTTTTGAGGATTCTGTCATTATATACCCTTGAAGTTACAGCCTCGCTATATACAAGCCGGATAAACGGCCTGCATAAATTGCCAAAAAAGTAAATAAATTGTTCGCTTGACATAAAATATGTGCATTCTTGTTCTATCGGAAACAAGGCTTCCGCGAGGATTAAAAAGGACGAAAACAAGCCCGCATAGCTTAGTCTCGCACTTCTTTCGTAACGACTAGCCATGCGGTTCCTGATGATCGCTGGGCCAGCCAGGGGTGTTCATTGCCATCACACACACCTTCCAAAGAAAGGATCAGTACGCAGCTCGAAAACCGCCCATTTCCAGAACTACGGATAGCGCCATGTTATCGATTACTATTCTGTTTTAATTTCCCGACACGCGTGCTGGTGCTTGTTGTTAGCCAATCTGCGGAGAGTATATCCATATTTTGGCCCTAGGCATGCGCATGCACATGCAAGGTATCTGATGCATGTTCAAAATCCACCGTGTCGCTAAGGGCAAGGAGAGGATTCTCCCTGGTTCATTACTCAAGCGAATGACACAACACGAGATGGTTCTTCCGCCTCGGGGATCGGGTGGGATGGGAGTGGGTGGCCCCCTGGGTATACTTTACCAAAACGCCGGATAGGTGTCCTGTCGGCGTTGAGCCCTGTATAAAGCTAATATATAATGTCAGTACCAGACATGTATTCCCTGGCGAAAAGCCTGTTGCTGGATACTTACCCGTGGGCGGATTTTCAAGGGAACTGGAAGGATGTACAGTATGGCGACGGGATTCAAAAGACTAACTAGCATCGCCAGGCTAGTGGCTGACGGCAATGGTGATCGACTTTCTGGGTTCCTGGTACCGAAGCCCTAAAATATGTGAGATGTGTGATTTGAATCTGTTAGCCGCCCATTTGTGAAGTACGGGATGGGGCTGAGAATTAACCTGCATTTTTTACCAGACACCCCATGACGGGGGACGGTAGTTATTCACATCTTGACACGTTGGTGCCCAGCATCCATCTACTGCAGGGAGATGACTGCTCACCTTCTCACCGGTATACATGCACATATCGTACGCATGAGGCAGAACCGGCACGCTAGAGAATGAAGCAGACGCCCAAGATCGAGGCTACACGCCATTATTAATATGGCGTACGTGTGTGGTTGCGTGTGTGTACTCCGTATACTCGGTAAGAAGTCACATAATTTCTCCGCCACGACGGACATCCACGATCTTACTTCTTTATCCCCGAAAAATGGCCAGGGATGAACTAGTAAGGCATTAGGTGATAAATATCTCACTTGGCGAGGGCCCAAGAGTCGACTAACTCGCATGCAATGCCCGTTTCAAGCGTTCCTATTTCTCTTTGTTGTCTTTTGGATAGACTCTGCGTCGGACCTGGGAGAATAACAAGGGTCACAAT